AGGTGAAACAGTCTTTCAAATTTCCTGCTTCATAGAAAAGTCTGCCAGATGCTATGGGCCTGTAGGCTGAAGATGGATGCCCCAATCTTACAGAAAACTTTGGGTGACTGTTCAGGCAGCAGTATGTCTCTAGAGTTTTTGGAATTTACTTCCAATACATTTTCTGTTAACTTAGGTAATATTATATCCTTCTGGAGTCTTTGGAGTTGAAGACAGATAGTTATAGCATGATTTTTCTTTAGTTATGATAAAAGATAAATTAGATATGAAACTTTAGCCTCACAAAAAATATTGTAACTTTAATTATTGCTTGATATCTGTTTTGTTATATGCAATTTTACAATGTTAAAGTTCAAACCTTCCTTTTTATTTAGACAGAAAAGGGGAGATGATGTGGAATTCCTCTCTGTATGCTATGAATATGTCTTATTACCATTGGTTAATAAGAAAGCTGCTTTGGCCTATGGCAGGACAGAATATAAGTAGGCAGAAAAACTAAACTGAATGCAGGGATAAGAAGGCAAAGTCAGGCAGATGCCATGTGGCTGCTGAAGGAGAAATACACCAGAATCTTACTGGTAACCCACAGCCTCATGACAATACAAAGATTAATAAAAATGGGTTAATTTAATATATACGAGCTAGCTAGGAATATACCTGAGTCATTGGCCAAACAGTGTTGTAATTAATATAGTTTCTGTGTGATTATTTGGGTCTGGGTGGCTGAAAAATGTAAAATCAGTCTCTGCTTACAGATGTCCATGGTCTGTGCTGCCACCTGAGGTTATATTGGTGTCCCTTGTCAATGATGTCACTAGAGGCCATTTTGATGTTCATGTTTTATTACTACAGGAAGCCATGTTGATGTCAGTGATCCCTACTACTGCCAAGAGGCCTTATTGATGTCCATGTTTGGTGCTCCCACCAGAAACCATGTTGCTGTTCATGATCTATGCTAGGATCATGTTAATGTTTGTGGTATGTGATGCCTCCAGAGGTCAAAATGAGGTCCGTGATCTGTGATGTCGCTGGAGAGTATGGATGTCTGTGGTCCATGCACATGTTGGAAACCACATGGAAGTCCATAATTTGTTGTGATCCAGCTGCCCTCACTCCCCCTGACTGACAGCAGAACTTCCTTGTGGTCTGTAATTGACAAGAATGTTTGTGTTCTTTCTGGTCTGTGGGTCTCCACAGAAGGAGTAGAGGTATAAAAAGTTGCTAGGCAAAATAAAGCTTGCTGTTCTTCCACCTGAAAAGAAGCCTGTGTGTCTCAATCCCGGCACCTCCCACCAGTCTTGGCTATCCAGGCTGCGCTGGCTGCAGCAAGAATCCATGCAGCTACCAGTTGTTATGAGCAAGGAAAAATCAGCTGCAGGTGTTGATGACCACAGACTCATACTTGAGAATGAAAGAGATTGAAATCTGCAACAACTTCTCTCCCTCCCCAAAGAAAAGAGAAACAGTCTAGACAGGAAACCAATGACTCCTCACTTAATAATTGTTGTAAAGGTACTGAGACATGTCTCTTCACAACTGATGGATTCTGGTGGGGGGGGATGAGAAAGGACTCAGTTATCTTTGAGGGGCTGGCCACTGAGAATTTGACCATGTTCCACTGAGTGTATGGGCAACATAAACTATACTCGATGTATTTGGGAGGGGGGAGGGCACAAGGGTGGGAGGGTATACCCGGGTGGAATGGGAAGCAAGTGTGATTGGACACATTGTATGAAAATCCTAAATAATAAAGAAAAATAATATGTTGGGGAAAAAGAAGAGATAACCAGCCAGGTGATAGTGGTCCACACCTTTAAATTTCAGCACTTGGGAGACACAGAGAGGTGGATTCAGTTCCAGGATTGCCAGAGCTACACATAGAAATCCTGTCTCAGAAAACACAACAAAAAGACAAGATATAACAGGTGGGCTATGCAGTGTTATATATGTTAGAGTCACATGTGAATACATAACAGAAATACAGAGGGAAGAAATAGAACACAGGTATAGACAGTAGGACAAAGAGATAGAATCTGCTTTTCCAGGGCAGATCCTGAGGGAAAGGTAGGCATGTGTGGAAATGAAAAGATACTTGAGGGAACAAAAGTTGGAGCTGGGATATTGAAGAAGAAAAATGAGGGATATTGATGCAGGTAGAAGTTCTTGAGGTCAGTGTTTGTGATTCCAACTTACTCCTGCTGTGACCTTCTGAGGAAAACATAGGAAATATCACAGAATTGTGCTGGTACACGATTCTGGTAGTGTAGCTATTCCTGACCTGCTCCCACATACATCAGTCAAGGGCTGTTCGCAGAAGAGTTCTCTCTCACATCTATGTTTGTACATTTGTGAACACCAAGGAGAACCTGCAACTGTCCTTCCCCAGATGTCCTAGGGCACAGGAAGAGAAGACCAACGGAACTGAGACTGTCAGCTTTGGTAGTAAGTAACTGGAAAATAATTGGCCTCCATAAGCTCATAGGGAGTAGCACTATTAAGAGTTGTGACTTTGTTGGAGTAGGGGTGGTCTCATTGGAGGAAGTCTGTCACTGGGGGGGGGGTGAGGTCTCCTTTGCTCAAGCTACACCTATAGTTCAGTTCACTTCCTGTTGTCTGCCGATCAAAGATGGAGAATTCTCAGCTTCTTCTCCAGCACCATTTCTGCCTGAACACTGTCATGTCCCACCTTGATGATAATGGACTGACCCTCTGAACTGTAAGCCAGCCCCAATTCAATGTTTTCCTTTATAAGAATTGCCATGATCATGGTATCTCTTCACAGCAATAGAGACCCTAACTAAGACACTGTCATATAATGACTCCTTGAAGACTGTTGCACAGAAATGACAGGACTAAGACATAAATTGTGAGATGTAATGCAGGATTCAAGGAATGTCTCAAACAGAATCACTAGTGTTAATGTTAGAGGAGATAAGGCTAGAACGGATTTTGGAACACTTTTTGCCTAGCCAAGAACTTTGAACTCAGCAGTGAGTTTGCAGCATTACAACGCCTAATGTACTGTTTTGCATGTTGGGGTCTGAAGGAGGAGAGGTTGTCATGCTCTTGTTTGCAGTCAGAGTTCCAGAGTCTATTGTAAATATGTGGCTTCCAGCTAAACTAACCCTCTGTCATGGTCACTGTTCTATTGCTGTGAAGAAACACTATGACATATGCAACTCTTATAAAAGAAAACATTCAATTGGGGGCTTGCTTACTGTGTCAGCGGTTAGTCCATTATCAATCATCATGGCAGGGAACGTGGTGGCATGCAAGCAAACGTGGTCCTGGAGAAGTAGCTGAGAGATGTGCATCCTGATCCATAGGCAGAGAGAAAGACCCTGGGCCTGGCATGAGCTTTTGAAACCTCAAACGCACTGCCACTGACATACTTACTCCAAAAAAGCCGCACCTCCTAATTCTTATATTCCTTCCAGACAGTCCACTCCCTGGTAACTAGGCGTTCAAATATGACTCTCCAGATGATGTTAATATTCAGAACACCACACCCTCACACAACAAGCAACTGATTGAAAACTGTCCCACAGACACTATTAA